TTGGCAAGTCAATGGCTTATGATTTTTTGTATCGAATCAATTATATTTTGCGCAGAGACACGATTTTTTAGTCATCGTCAAAAACTGCCAGATCCAAGCGTAGATAATTGCTCATAAAGCCATTTCTCGCTAATTAAACCTACATTCGATGGTTGTGATGTTCATAAAACGGTATCAGTATACAACGTTGATGATGTTGTTGTCACAGACCCACACATTTTAATAAAGCTACGGAGAAAAACAGTTCAACGGCCACAATGAATGATGGAGAAGCGCTTTAATTGGTACCAATTTGCCGACAAAATGATTTATTGTGATTATTTGTTGACTCAACGATTAACAGATTTTTTTATACTTCATACTTATGCTCGTCTTGACAATTTCTTCTTCTTTCTCCTCCTTCACCGCCAATTCGGTACTCGTCGCAATTGAGATGCGAACATCGCGTGAATATACGTATGCTCAGCTCAGTAGGTAATGTGATTTTAATTCGCGATATTCGCTATTATGTCCAAGCGATCCATCTACGACTCATTCAACGGCAGTAACGTGATTCGGATGAAATCAAGATAAAAAAGTACATGGAAAAATGGATTCGCGTTTGTTTGAAGGTGTATGTTTGGGTCGGAGTTTTCGGAACGATTTTTCAAGTCCGAGAAAGTAGGCTTTTCTGATTTAATGCAACTGATAATCCCGAATTTTTCGTAGAATTCATGCGGTGGCGTGGTAAATTGCTCCAATTTTACACGAATATGTCATTGTGATTAATTGAAAGCATCGCGGTATGCATCGAATTGGTTGCGCTGCGTGGATTTATGGACGTTGGATAGTTAAAATGACACGATGCTACACGTTGCCGCTACTGCATTCGAGAAATTTAATGATTTTTTCGGGCACTTTTTATGTGCAAAGCAATCAATTTCCATTTGAAGAGGCGGCTGAAATCCAATTCGAATCATCCAAATTGCATCCAATCGAAGTCGAATGATAACAATGTTGAAAATATACGAATGATCAACCTTTGGTGTGATCAAATCATTGTCACGCATTCGCTTGATCACGTATTTCTTGTCCAATCAAACAACTAAACCACTCAATCACTTTCAATCCGAATGCATTCGTGTCTCGTCAAACGATCAACCGTGATATATGATGCACTCTATCTAAATCGTATCGATTTGTATCGATGTGGGCAGTAGCCAACGTAATGAAAAAAAACAACAACCATAGTCCACATTTGTAAACACGAACATAATCTCACCAGATGCGCACCAAAATCTGAATCAATGTTTTTGTTCCAATTTTCTGATTCCAAGAAAATGTTCAACTCTTCCACAGTCGGTCGCACTGCGAAGACAATATGATACATTTTAGAAGATAAACTCTGCACGAAACCGAACGTCGTGATCCAACCAAGTGAAAAAATCCTCATACTCATTGTTTAGGATTTCTTCTCGCTTAAATTTTTTTTCCGTCAAGAAATTTTTTTCTAATCAGATTATTATTCTCTCCTTTTTTTTCTCGAAAGAGAGCCGGAGAAAAAATACCAAATAAGCCGCACCTGCACGCATTCAAGGGCTTACACACATGCAACGACGCATTGCATGCGTCCAACATCGACAGTGAAACGAATGTAAAATAAATACGTAGAATAAATCAAAGTTGTTTTTTTTTATTCTCGCCAACAAAGGCGAGTAGCGCGTATTCGGTTGTATTTTTTTAACGGTGCAGGTATCGTTCACGCAACAATCGGATTGGGTTTATATATCCAATTAGAAAATCCCTAATGCCCACATCACAAAATCGAATTTACTTTTACTTCGTTGAAAAAAAGAAAATAATTCATGAACCCCGAAATGAACGTTGCGTTGGTTCTATTATTATTCCAATTTTCTCGCATCACTCAATTTTCGATTTCAAATTGGTTTCGTTTCCTTTTGTACCCACAAATTCAGGTAGGTTGATTGAGCATCAAGGAAACAATTTACGGGTTCGGGTTTCAATAGTAATTTTGAACCAGATTGAAATCCACAGCGAAATTAAACTGTCATTAAATCAAAGGAAACGGACGTTTTTTTCTTGTCTATTTGCCTTGTAGCATTTTCATGTTCATACTACGCTCTGACTACGTAACTGTTATTTTCGAGAGAGAAAAAAACGTATACGTATATAATATACGGTATATTTGTGTACACCAAAAAAAAGGACAGTAGCTTATAATAACGCCATTCATCTCGTGTTTATCTGTCTACCTTGTTTTATGGTCAACACGTTGAACATCGATAAAGTTCAGTTCAAATGTGTACGAAATGACGGGGCAGCAGCACACAAACCTGTTGTGCAAATTGTCATGCAGGTGTTTGGTTTTTTTCTTCTTGTTGTGTGCATGTTTGCTTTCCATCGACACACGCATAGCACGAATGTTCTTTCTTTTCGTTAGATTTATGGCCATCGCTGCCAGACGAAACAAAGTCGAAAAGAAAGCATTTTATTTGCATTTCTGCAACGATGCAACCGAACAGCAGCAAAAGCACCGCCACCAAAAATAACGCTATACCCAACAAAATGGCCTCTTCGCTTCGGTGAAATGTGCCATCAATTCCGAACACATGCTGTCGCTTGTTGATGTCGTCCTCTTGCAAAAAGTACACAAAATCATGAACTCAGGTGTTGCTTGTCGTACATAATGTGCTGATTGTCTGAATGTACGCTGTTCACAGCCAATTTTTATTCGTATATTCCAATTACGGCTGGCTTTTTTGGAGCAAAAGATTCACGCATTCAGTTTTTGAAATTGCACTTTTTTCCATGTTCAAAACATGTACTTGAGACAGAAGAAAAATTTGTCATCTCTTCTTCAGAGCATGGTTTTTGTCTTGTTTGAATTTATTTTTCTTTTATGGATGACTTTTCTTTTATCTGAGAGAAGAGACAAATGCTTGAACTCTTTTGAGGAAGAAATCTTTGGACATCATGCAATCTTTGGAATACCCACTTTGGTCCGAATTGATCGAAAGAGATGAGAAGAACTTTCTCAAAAAAAAAATCCATTTCGTGAATCGTTATGTACAAGTTCGAAATTTGATTGATCTATCAATGTAGATCTGACAGCTTGTAAGAGTGACGGTGTGTCTTCCGTTCGGGTAGATATAAAAGTCGATCAATTTTTCTTCGGTTCATTCAATAAATCAACGGCGATCGGTTTTATTTGTGTTCTAACTTGTGTTAATATCGTGTAATGACCTGACCGCAAATGCGTGATATCGCGTAACGCCGATATTTCAAAGTTGTTTTCCGCATTTCGAAAATGAAACGAGCCGACATGCGGTGTGGTGTTGTTGGTACAAATGTGGTCGGTTCGATCGTCACCAGATGTATCGAGGAAATACATCACAGGTCACACACACACACACACAGCAAGCGCAAGTGATCGAAAGAAGGGACGAGATAGAGAGAAAAGAACAAAAGTTTTGGCGGTTGTTCGTTTTATTGTATTTTATCGATGGGTTCGTCGCACATGTCCAAAATTAATTGCCACTAGGAACATGTACGACTGCAAACAAAATTACTTATCACGGAAAACGAAAGCTGAAATAAATATATCATTACATGGCACTTTGTACGAAACGAAAAAAAAAACACTTACACTTGTGATCATTTTGTGCGGAGAGCGCAGCAAGTAATGTATCAAAATACGACGGTCATAAATTGTCTTCAAGACTGAATACGTATAGCTGGCTTATAGTGACTTTATTTTTCGACTGCGTACAGTAATTGCTAAACAAGGAAAATTACACGAATTTCATAACATCTGCCCGTGTACACATGTGCACTTCTGTGTGCCGGCCATAATTGATATATATATTCAGTGGCTCGCAGTCAAGTAATCGATCATAATCACCTTGAAATCAAGTCTTTATTGTAATTTTCAGTCGACTCATTATTATCGTTCAAAATGCTTGTTCTCTTAGCTACACTCGAAGTGCTGTGCTTTTTGTCATCGGTTTCAAAACAATTCGATAGACTCAATGGAAGAATACTTCTGGCGATCGATCTCTATGGGCGCCTTACTTGAAAGTTTCTCTTTTTCTCGTGAGAGAAAAAAGAAGAAAAACTCACAAATTGTACAGTTATTTCCCTCAAATGCCCATTTTATTGGACATTAGGCGAATCGGTTTTAAAACAAACAATCGATCATTTATCGGTAAATTACCATCTTAAATGCGCCGAAAATGGTGACGGTTTTTCTTCTTCTAGAAATATGCACTCAACCGCTAAATGCACTTCGTGAAATCTCGTCCATCAATCAATTCGGGCAAATGAGATAACGTGTACCACTTTTTATGCTGTGGCGTGCATTTGCTGGCGGCATTTTCTATGCTTCGTATCGCTGTCCTCTTTGATCATGCAAATGAATCATGTAATTTCAATCATTCCCAAAAAAAAAGAAGATCTCATTTGAATATTTTCATTAATGCATCTCGATCCATCCCGAACACACATCAGACAAATTAGCTGGTTCGGAATGTTTTTTTTTCGAATGCTAATTGAATTGCATTTAAGTAAATCACGATCGAAACCATGCAGCTCTCTTTCACTAAAATAGAAAATGACTTTACCATTTGAAAGATGAGGAAGAATAAAGACTGAGCGGAAAAAAGAGCACAATGTAAATTGAATCACGTGGAAGAGCGTTAGAAATGTATGTTATTAATGCCATTGACTTCTTGGCGCTGTGTTTTAGATTTCTAGTTGTAGTAACATGGAAAAAATAGAAGCAATTAACATAGAAAAAAAGAAGACGAGAGGAAAAAAAATGCATGATTAAAAATTGCACTTACGTTATAGAAAATTATCACAACGGCGTTGATTTCATTTTGTTGTTATCGGATGGTTGGCGTTGCCATTTTTTTCTTCATTGTTCTGAATCCGCAAACCAGGGCCTAAAATTTCAAAATTTAAGAACATCCCGATATTTTAAAAAAATTAAAAAACTTAGGTTTTCTGCTGTAAAATAAATGAAAATAGACTTTATTCTCCTTCTTATCATCTACGCAGTTGAATAAATATTGTTATGAATTGAGCAGTAAATATTTGAGTGAAAACGATAAGCTAAATTAAAAAAAACGAATAGAATATATCAAACTTTAATAATTATGAGTGCTTTAAAATTTCTTAATTGTTTTGATTTCATCATCTTCATCGGAATCTTCTTTTTGTTCTCGAGCACTTTTGAATATACCTTTAAAATATGGCGCATTCTTTGCTTTTCTGTCCATAACGCCGGAAAAATCTTTGCGTTGCTTTTCGTTCATAAATTGTTTGATTGCCATCCTTGGATCCCAGTCTTCGAGATCAGGCATATTAAAATGAACGTAAAGATATTTTACTTCCGTTTCAAGTGAGATACTGCTTCGTAGTGGTGTCTTTATTCTGTTATTTGCGCTTATAGACCTTTCCACGTCCGCTGAATGCGGCGTACACGCTTGAATTCGTGTTAATATAGTCAGCACTTCTTTGTAATTTTTCGAATTTGTAGAATCTTGATGATTTCATGCAATTTCCCATTCAATTTCTGTGCAATCTTTTGTTGAACCAACTCGTTATATTGCAATTGAATTGATGTCAAATCGAGATCAGTTGCAAAATTTTTGTGAATCTCGCGCAAATCGGCACGTTGATCAAACGTTACAAATGGTTCTATCAGTTTTATTTGCTTATCATCACTATCGAACCGTTCGGAAAGACAATTCAAAATAGAACCAATTATATCACTTCGAATGCTTTGAAAATCAATGCCAGACGTTTCTTGTCTTGTACGGCCGTCTTCAGATCGCTGAAGTTCAAAATGCTTCAGAATAAATCTTCCATCATCCGTTTCTTCGATGTCATTTTTTAGCGCCTCTTCCCATCCACCAAGAAGAAAATCTGACTGTAAAGTTAACAGTGCATTACGAAGAGAATTGATGTTTTGCACTAGACTTATGATCGTTAAATCATCGCCTTGTAATTTTTTCTGGTAACGAGAATAAATGTTCAATAAGTCAGCCAAAAATGCGATGACACGAAGATTATCAATTTTCTGAAGAAAAATAAAAAAACCGTTTGCTTTGCTGTCGTTGTTCTTATTTCCATCGAAATATGTCATTAATGCCACCCATGATCGCAAAATATTATTTATAATTGCGGCGCTATACTCCGTCCAACGAATTGTAAACAATTTTGGCAATTTCGAGAGATGTAGTTTGTATTCAGCTGCAATCGATTCGAGCTCAGCTGTACGCAAGCCGGATTGACGAAAATATGACGAAATGGAACTGAGTTCGTTCAAAGTGTTTTGCACGATGGTATGTGTTTTGCTCACGTCACCCCAAACCAATTCCATACGATGTGCACTGCACCAAATTTTTGATAGCGGTATAACTGACTTGATGCGACGTATTTCGTCTTCAATGTATTTCCATAAACCACCCTTTTCGCCAGAATTTACATTAGTTCCGTCGGTACAAATCGAAGAGATGCTCAACATCACAGTTTCATACAGTTGCTCACCAATATTGTCAATAATACCTCTTTTTACGGCATCAAACAGACCAAGTGCACCTCGTAATTTCTGTTCGCCTATACCAAGAAAAACTAATTCAGGCTCACCATCAGCATTGACAATTTTAAGCAAAATGTAAATCTTGTCGATTTGTTGGCGGTCAATCGATCCATCAACACGGAGAGAACAAGCAAGAGCTGTTTTCAGTTTCCTTTCAAGACATTCCTTGTCCGATCTTACGATAGTGCTTAACAATTCCAAATGAGCAACTGGGTTCACGTACTGTAAATTTAAAAAAGGCACAGTTGGCGAATTTTTGTTTTCATATTCAAAAAGTCTCCCAGACTCGGCACCAACAACACGCGACGGCCAACTCCATGCTGAATTACCCAGTTTTTTTGCATCGACGAATACGTCATACAAAAGTTTCGTTACATGCGACGCCAACTTTTTATTTGCTTTGCTCAAGTGTATTTCAATACCAGACTTTAATTCTCCTGGCAAATTAAGTGCGAATTTGCATGCTTTGTGACACTTTGATTCAAAATGATTTTCCACATACGACTGTCGGTAGCGAGCGCCTTCAGATGTTGTGATTGGAGGTGGTTTTCTGTTATCGGTATTCATTTTGACAATGTTTGGAAATGCCATACACACGTTGCACCGAACATAACGCAACTTTGCATCATTTTTATCACGCACTTCAAACGATTCGATGCATTCTTTGCATTCTTTGTGGAAATCCACTTTATTAATTAATGTTGATGTTGCTGTTGAAATTTGATCGACTTGGTTTTCATTTGTTTCGGCAATTTGTTCATTTGGTTCGGACTCTTCGATCACTGATGAAGTTGAAGACGAATTTTGTTGTAAAATATCGGGTTCGAACGTGGGAATTGCACTCGCATTTTCGTTTGATGTATTTACACCGCTAGAGTCATTTGGCTTCGGTTTTTTCACAAAAAACCGATCAATACTCGTCTGAATGAGAAATGAACAAATACAACATTTGAAATAAAAATCCATACTACATATGTTCATCAATTTTTTTTTTTCAAAAACTCAACATTAAATGAATTTGAAATGTTACCTTCTCGTTCCTTTTCTCTGACATTAGCGAGCTACTATGAGAACCGCACTTGATTGATTTCAATACACGAATGAAAGCAGCCAAAAACAATATGCAATTAATGCTCAAATCTTGAGGCTTGAACACATTGCGCTGTTCATCATGCGATTATTATTTTATGTAAACATTTCTGTGTTTGTTCACAGTTCAAAATAAAAGTTATCACAATAATCATTTTTGTTGATTATACAGCGGGTATGTCTCGCCTATGTGGTTGGCAGTGAACGCAGTTGACTTTTTTTTGCTGACATGCAACTTTTGCCAAAACCAAAATCAAATGACCGAATAAGTCTCGGTTACTCATGAAATGAATCATAATGAGAAAAGAAGCTAATAAATTAAACAGACTAAACGGTATAAATAAAGTAAACAAATTGATCGACTTTGTGTTGTGCACAACACAAGATATCGCCAAAATACAGTTCTGAAATGAGAAATATCATTTGAATATTGGGCTGTTACTTTTTTATATGATAAGAAATCATATTTTAGCGTTGAATCACCACACTCTATTCTGAGAGTGACGATTCACAGCAAAATATGATTTTCAAACGTAACAAAAGTAACATCCCGATTTTCAAATAAGAGCAACACTTTTCAAATAAGAGGATCCCGAATCGGGTAGAAGATCCCGAAATTTTAGGCCCTGCCGCAAACTTCATTCAATTAGAATGCACAAACAACGGCATATATGCATTGGACCATATTCATTACGCGCGCATTCATACAGAAAATAACCGCCGAGAAGAAAGAAAAGATCATATATTTGGATCAAGGCGTTTCATTTTATTGTCAAGTAATTAATATCGGTGATTGAAAGCGTTTTTAAATCCATTCGAAAAATCATAATCCATAGCGCGAGTAAGTGAAAAGTGAATGCGAGAGTTATGCCATTCAGACGAAAGTCCGTCAAAACGTAAGACACGAGCTGAAGACAGTGGGCAAGTAACTCAATTAAACATCGTCAAGAATGCTGGGGGAATATATGAACGCGAGAATTAAGCGCGATTTGTGCCTTTATGGTCTAATGCTCATTATATAACTAGATGCCCATAATGTTCAACGGCGCAAGAAAACGTTTTGGTTTTTTGTTGTTGTTGTTGTTGTTATTTTCATTCATTCGTTTACCATTTAACGCGTTTAACACATAGCTTAAATACAATCGGACGATCGTCGAGAGGTGGAAAGCAGTTTGTAATGAATTGAGCAAACAAAACAAAACGTTTGTAATCATTTTTTTTGTTTTCGGATCGCTCATTTGTTTGATGTTTAATGCTTGCATTTGCTGACATGCATTAAGCACGGAATAAAAACAATAAACCATTCTTGTTTTGAATGGTTCTGCGCTTTTTTCGATGGTTTTACGAATGATTATCAGTTGGAGCCCAGAAAAAAAGAAGAATGCCTAAGACACGCTAAAAAAATGCAATGGGCTCGGGGTTTTTTTTTGTTCAGCCACATTCTTTTCGATGAATTCAATCGTTTATTACAATAATTATTTTTGAATACGTTTTGAATGGAGAAATGCATTTTAAACGCTGTAATAGCAGATAAACACCTAAACGATTGGATAAGCGTCTTATGATCGAAGCGCGATCGAATGACGACGTTAGTTCGTGCACTCCGTGTCTAATCGTTGTTGATAGCACACTGCTGCAATCGAATGTTGCGCTTACATCAAATGAGCGAATCGAACGTCGCAAACACACAAAAAATGTAATTGGAATTACTCAACTTTGGAGTGATTGACTTTTGTTTTGGATGCTTGTTGCTTCACTTCTTTTCTTCTTCATGCATTATTTGTGTGCCCGACACGTAATTGACATGACGATGTCGATTTTTTTATTCGCTCTCTTCCAACCGAATGAAATTTGAAGAAAAAATATTACCGATTGAACTCGCATTGTTCACAGTCCATTATATTGTTTTGCCCATTATTCCGAACGCACGACTTTTTCGTGCCATTTTGTGTAAATTACTATATCGTATACGCAAAATGCTACAACAACAAAGCCCAATTGAATTTACTAACCGGCATCTTTTTTGCATACGAGACGCTCCATTTATTCAAACTTGTGTGTCGACGAATGGAATATTGAAATATTGTTCTGACTTGTAACATGAATAATTGTTGTACGACTTTTTTTATGTGTGTATATGCGTTGTGCGTTTGTTTCAAGTAGCTGCCGTCTGAGTCTGAGTCTTGATGCGCTAACCGCGCACAGTAACATTGATGGATGAAAATTTTCTCACTACAATCGTCGAGTGAAAAAGGGAAACAATCGAAACAATATACAAAGCCAATAAACATTGAGATTAAATATCCCACTGACTGAGAGTACGTGCATTCAGTTAAAGAAGATGATCCACACACGGCTCTTCTTCTTCATCATCATCTTCTTCTTCATGTTCGTCGTCTTTTTTCTTCCATTTCTTCTTTCACCGTGTGTTTTTCCAACTTGATTGGAACAACGCTTGTGAAGCAGCTAACCGAGACAAACATAAAGAAAAAAACCACAATCAAACTAATAATAATCACCATTTGTATATCCATTATCGCATGCAAATCCACGTTCGCATGCCCCGCTAAGACATCATCGTGTACATAAATCCAACTTGTCTACACGTCTCATGGTGGGAACTTCATCGTCATTCTCCATTTGCATGCGTTTTTATTTTTAGCTTCGTATAATATACAGCCTCGATAGTGGATTCATGAAGCTTCTCGTAATATCGAGGGATCGTAATCGCGCAAATCCATTATGTTAAAATGACCAATTGATACATGTGTGGTTACGATTTTATAGGCTCTGTCAACCATCTCCGATGGCACTTTGTTTTTTTTTTTGCTGCAGAAATTAATTAATTGTATGTTTGTTTACGTTTATGTGCACTGTGCCCTCTTCTGGTTGTGAGAATCTAAGAGTTTGCCATTACGTAATAACACAACTAGGACTCAAAAGAATAAAGCTTGAATGATCTTTAAAATTCACACATGATTGTGTGGACACACATACACAGAGAGACAGAAAGAGAGCCTCTATTCTATGGAACAAAGCTTCTTCCATTACACAAATATGCTACTGAACACTTGATTCAACTGATTAAAAAAATTGCTTTCCGTTGTGTTTATCAATTTACTGTGCAAATATAACTTTTTTTTTTCATTTCATTTTCAAATAAATATGTGCGTTTTACTGGGCTAAAATAAATATTGGAAAGAGATAAGAGATAAGTAATAAAGAAAAGAGATAAGAGTTCGTGTGTTTGGTAGAAATTGTTATCTGGTCACTTCTTTGTCATTCTGGTAAAGTTGTTTCATCCGGCCATTTGTGACGCTGCTGTACTTGCTGTACTACCACCCTGTCCACCCGTAGCAGATGTCGAGCCTGTACTGGCGGTTGAGGAAGTCATGGCGGTAGAAGAAGTGGCACTGGTTACTGAATAAATTTTAATCGCATCAAAACAAAACTTTTAGTCAACATATTCAAATCGATATAGAAACAGTTTCTCCCATTCATAACATGTAATCTATGGCTTTACTTGCTTTAATTTATATCTTTTAAAATGTCTTACCCGGTGGAACTGGTATAATTATTGGTGGAACTGGTATGAATTTTGGACAAACAACTGGGCACTTATGTTTCTTATTCGATCCTGATGAGCCTGATGAGCCTGATGAACCCCAAGAATCTGATGAACCATGTGAACCTGATGAACC